TTCTTAATATATAAGAATATTTAGAATATATAATAATTTAATATACAATTTTATATAACCATAAAGCCAATAAACTGGAGACCTTCTTCTCTTCAGGGGAGCCACTAAGCTCTGCTCTGGTTATCAGGAGAGGTCGCTCTGAGACAAAGAAGCAAAACAAAGATTAAAAATTAGGTTTGGACGCCATGATTCCTGTTTTTTAAGTCACAGATGGGATGAAACCCATGACGGAACTCACAGTCACAGCCGTTCTGTCTCTGGGTTTTCGTCCGTTTCTGGTTTTCTGATCAGAGAAAAAACACAAAATGATCCACTGAGTCAGCAGGAAGCATCACGGAGCTCAAAAGCAGGAAGTTCTTTACCTTTTCTTCCATTTCTGGACAAATATGATGATTCCTATTACAGTTGGTGTGACCACAAGGCTTACAAAAATTCCCCATCGTTTCCTCTGGCTCGATTCTTGTGGGCTCATCCCCCCCTCGGTGGGCCCTGAGCACAGAAAAAAGCTTGTTTTTCCATGTTTTCAGACCCTTTGACGGATAAAATCATGCAGTTTGTGCCATGATTTTCTGATCTGATCTCATGAGTGAAAGCAAAACCCAGATTTGGGTTTCAGTACGAGCCAGACTCCCCCCGGACCCAAAGGGATTCTGGGATGGGTCTGCCCACAAAATTTTAAACTACACAGGTGTGACTCATCACTAAACCACAGCCATGACATAGCCAACAGTCAGTTTGGATCAAAAGTTCCCCCCGAACTCCTGCCCGCTGTTCGAAAACTATATGACGGAGCTTAATAATTATGATAATAATTACCACGAGGGTCTCAGGGTTCAGCCAGTGTATTTTATAATGGGCTGCTCCCACCAGTTAATTTCAAAATAAGGGCCGATTTTGCAGTTGGTCCGACTTTCTGTGAATTTTTCCATTGAAATCCTATTGGAGCGGGTTGTGAAAGTCTGAACTCTGGGCCCGATTGTCGGAAAACCATAAGGCCGAGGTCAAAAGCGGGAACATCGTCCGAAAGAGGACGCCCACGGCTACGTTTCGAAGTCATTTTGGCGCCGCTCGGCCCCACGGTTTGGTCGCGAGAGGCCGGAGTTTGACTTTTTTCCGGTGAACACGCGCACAGGCCTCTCAGAGGCTTTAACGAGCACAGCTTGAGTGAGGGGCAGATTCTGGGATTTTGTGATTTTCATTAAAACGTCAACAGCGATTGTGGGCAAACTGTGATAGATCTGGCCTCGAGGTTCCAATATGGTGGATGCCCATCTTTTGTGACCTGTTCAACGTTCGAACGAGGTCTCTCGGACGTCGTGGGGCCGAGATCTGCTTTTTTAGGGCCCGTTTCTAGGGTCTCCCATTCATTCCTATGGGCCAAATATTTCCGCTTTTTCGCCGTTTATTCGGAAACGCCCGGACTAATGAGAAAGATTTTTACAAGCATGCATCCCGTGGTTGGGACGGACGCGCATGCCACTTTTGGGCCCGATCCGCGGAACCATGCGCGACAAGTTACGCACTGAAAATCGAACGGAAACGGGAGACTATAAGAAGTGACGGGATAAGTATTTTGGATAGTAATAGGGGGGCCACTGCCACAATGACTTGTTTGTCTCTCCTGCCTCTTTTCTGTCTGTCAGAGAGGGAATCTACAGTTTCAGATGCTGAGTCAAACCCACTGAGGCTCCTCAGAGTGGCCGTGCGGCTGCTGGAGGCGGTGCTGACGGTGCAGCTGTAGCTCCCGTCAGCTTCTCCCTCCGGCAGCAGCAGAGAGCTGCTGATGTTGTACAGCTGCTGCTGCGTCCGCTGGACTCTGGTTCGGTTCTGGAGGCTGCTGCTGGATGGGGTCTGGAGGGGGGGGCTGCTGGCCCAGAGGAGCACAGGTTCAGGGTAGATCCAGCTGGAGCTGCAGGTGATGCTGTTTCCCTCCCGGTGGACGCTGACTGCTTTCACTGGAGCTGCAAACAGCACAGAAAGAGCTAAGAGAGCTGCTTTGGATGGGGTTTTCTGCCTTTCTGATGAACGTTTGGATTAAATCTGGGCACAGAAGGCTGGTAAAAACAGCTCGTAAGTCATCAATCAGCTGAGTATTCTTATGTTTTGGGGGGTTTTCTGTCCTTTAGCCACTTCCCTTTTTAATTGGGAAATATTAGCTTAAATAACAAACAGAAATATCCTACAAATCATCACGACAGCAATTAAGGAAGCTATAATGAACTAGAACATTTCTGAAGAAATTTTGGAGGGGGGCCACCTACTGCCCGTCCAGGAACCCGGGGCAGGTCGGCCAATCGATATTTGGGCCCTCTGTAATGTGGGCTCGCGCCTATGAGAGGGCCTGAGGGAGAGACGCAGTGATGGAGGGACCTGGCTGAGCTCCGGGGCCCGCTGACCGAATGTAATTGGTTTGAGAAGGTCGCGGGTCACATTGGCTGAAAGCTGAGAAAAAGACCTACGCAACGAGGCATGACATGGCTGGGTCCGGCCCCGGTCCGGTTCCGACCCGGTTGGGTCCGATCCCCAGAACCAGAACCAGAACCGGGCTCTGACTAAAGCCCTCTAAGCGGGCTTCGCCCGCCAGGTAACAGAAATAATGTATTTCTTAAAAAATCACTGAGAGCGGGCTTCGCCCGCCTTGTGCCAGAATCACTGTATTAGTTAAATCTTTCTAAGCGGGCTTCGCCCGCTCTAGAAGCAGAAGCACAGCTCACAGATGTCTGCAGAGACCCACTGCGCTGCTGTGAAAACTATTTCACAAAACTGGAAAATTCTTGGACCATGAGCGCCTACAGAGTTTAAGGTCGAATCCAGTGTATTTCATGTCCGGCTGCTCCCAGCAGTTATTTTTTTATGGCAATTTCAAAATGAGGGCCGTTTTGCCTCTGGTGAAAAAATTTTCTCCTTTCTTCCATTAAAATCCAATTGGAGAGGGTTGTGAAAGTCTGGACTCTGGGCCCGATTGCCGGAGAACCGTAAGGCCGAGGTCCAAAGCGGGCACATCGGGCGAAAGAGGAGACCCGCGGCTACGTTTTGAGGCCATTTTGGCACCGCTCGGCCCCACGGTTTGGTCGCGAGAGGTCACAGTTTGACTTTTTTCGGTGAATCTCCCCACATGCCTCTCAGAGGCCTTAACGAGCTGAGCTAGAGTGCGGGCCAGGATCTCTGATTTTCTGAATTTCACTAAAACGTCAACAGCGATTGCGGGCAAACGGTGTGAGATCTGGCCTCGTGGCTCCGATATGGCGGACGCCCGTCTTTCGTGACCGGTTCAATGTTCGAACGAGGTCTCTCGGATGTCGTGGGGCTGAGCGATGAGGCCCTAACGGGCCTCATCACTCTGCTTTTTTTGGGCCCATTTGTTGGTGGCCCCCATGCATTCCTATGGGAAAACGCTTGCCACTTTTTCGCCGTTTACTCTGAAACGCCCGGTCCTTTGAGAAAGATAAGTAATAGTACGCGTCCCGTGGTTGGGTCGGACGCGCGTGCCCATTTTGGGCCCGATCCGCGGAACCGTGCGCGACAAGTTACGCACCGAATTTCAGGCGGAAACAGGAGAAGTATAAGGAGCGGAATAAATATGGCGAAGAGTAATAGGTGGGCCTTGCCTGCGGCAGTGGCCCCCCTAATAATTAAGCGATGGCTTAGAGGTAACCCCACTAACATTAAATTAAACAATGGAGGTAACAGCTAAAAAAGCTGCTGAGGGAGGAATAAATCTGCTCTGAATTGAATTTTCTGTCTCTCTGATGAATATTGGGGGCTAACGAACGAACGAACGAACGAACGAACGAACGAACGAACGAACGAACGAACGAACTAACTAACTAACTAACTAACTAACTAACTAACTAACTAACTAAC